GAAAATTTATAATCATTAAGTATACTTATACATTCATTTCCTGAAGTTCTGGAATTTATTGGACATTTATCTAAACATTCATTATTAAATCTTTTTAAAGGGCAAGTAATTGGAGATACTGTAATTGCATTAACATTAATATATGATATAGCCCAACTGATATCTTATATTTCTAATGGTAAATTAATCTAAAATGAGATAAGTGAAAGATCTGATATATTTTCAAACTTTTCTATAAGTGTAAATTTTAGACATTTAGTATATCCAATAATATTACATTGGCTTTGTTTTAATGCACCTACAACTTAAAATTTCATCTCATTATTATTTAAAAGTATTAAATATTCACTCATTAAATAATTATTAAGCTTAATAAATAAATGTTGTTACAGATTAGATGGGAAATTTAATATATAAAATTCAACTTACATTAAAATATTGAATATAGTTCCTGTTGGATAATTAATATTATATTCCACAACTTCATTCTATATAAATAGACCTGCAACCTTTTTACCATCTAAAATAGTTTAACTTACTCTTTAAGTCGTATTGTAGTCAGGTTTCATAGTGAATTTAGATGCTGTATCATCATACAATAAATTTATTATTTAGTTATATTATTAACATGTATATCCATCAAAAAAATAATTTACAGGACATTAATAAACGCATTATCCTTAGAAATATGTTAGAAATTAGTATTAACATTAACATACTCCCTAAAAAGTTAATACAAAACCAGGCATACATTCTTAACATAATAAAGAGTCATTGCATATTTTACAATATTTCTAGCATCTTTCAGCATAAATGTTTAAATTTTTAATCCAATATTTAGTTTCACTATTTGTTGTAACTAAAAATGTTGCTTATTATTCATTCATTAAGGTAGTTGATGTAAATTAAATAAATGCTCTTTAAGTTAGGAAAGTACATAAATAAGCAGGATAATAAGTTATTACATCTTCTTCTAATTCATATATTTTCTTGCCACTTTCATAAAAACTTATTTTTGATTTTTAAGTAGATAGAAAGTGTAATTCAAATGTATAAAGTAATTGATTATAACCATAAGCAGTATTTATTTTGAATTCCATAACTCTTGGTATACCAGTTAATGTAGATTGATATACTTTCGTAAGACTTTGGCAAGTCAAATTTTAGGCTGATGTCGATGTGTCTAAATAATAAGATAATTTTTCTTAAGATGTTTCTAAATTTACTCCATTGAAATTAGATTATACTATTAAGAGCATATTCATTAATATAAATAAGTGTTCCATTTAAATTCTAATTTAATCAATCTAACCATTGTCTAAAAAAAAGTATTTAATATATTTCAATTCTGATAAATTTTGTATTTTGAAAATTCATCTAATAATTTATATTAATTTAAGCATAAAATTATATATATATATTCATATGATAATTAGAAGTGGAAAATTGAAATGAAATTTACTTAAATATATTTCTACTACATTATATTTAATTAATTATTTAATAGTTTCTAAAAAATATATTAATAATAATTTATAATATAATCAATTTTAATTAATTAAATAACTGCCTAATGGTAAGTAGATAGCTTATGATTGTTGATATTAAAAGTGGATATATTTATTATAAAAATTGTAATCTTCAAATATAATTTATTCTGAATTTTATTTTTTTATTTAGGCTATTGCTATTTAACCATTTAATTATCCACTTACAATCTAATTAATAAATTATATTACCTTAACAATATGATGACTTTCATTATCATTGATATTTGCTAAACAAATCTCAATTTCTACAATATCATTTATAAAATGTTCTTAATTGTTTGATAACTAGAAGGTATAGTTCAATAACTTACAATAATTATTTGATTTTTATCATTCTTATTAAGTGAATGAAAATATGTTATGGGATGTATTCTATTATTAATTTCTTCTGATATTTGTTAAGATTATCTATCTGCAGGAGTAAAATAATTCAAAATTTCATTATTAGCAATAATCATTTTAGATATTTCTAAATCACTTCTTTCTGGATATTAAATTCTTTTACTAGATCTTTTTGGTACAAGTATTTCTTCAACTTAATATTTTTCTTTTAATCTTTAAGGTGCTTTTTAAATTTCAAATCTATATCCTGATCCATGTTTATCCATAAAATTTTAATCATATCTTTTATCAACAAGAGATGATCGTCTCTTTTTATTATTTGATATTTATTAAGATTCAAGATCATGTGATTATTCTAAATATATACAATTTGAAGGTTATTAAGAAGAAATATCACATTCAAATGCTTAATCAAGTTGAGAATTTACATTTGATTTTTACATTATTTTGCTTATTCTACTTTTTCTCCTTTTATCATTCTATGAAGATTATTCAAATTCTTGTTTTTTAATAGGTTCTTCATCTAATTTATTACAATTTTTAGACTCATTTTTATTTTTTGGTTTAAAATAATCATCAATAGTTTTCTATTTTGAATTAAAAATATCTTATGATGATTTAAATTCAATATTTATAATATCTTATTATTCAATTTTAGATAAACTATTTTTCTCTTCATATTTTTATTATTTAGTTTCAATTTAATCATTATCTTCATCTGAATCATTATTTAATTATTCTAAATCTTCCTATAAAATCTACTTAGCCTGATCATATGCCAATTATTCTTCAAATTTTTTAAATGGCATTACTTAATTTTCTTTTTCTTATTCTTCTTATTATATTTAATCTTTTATGTCTTCTTTTGACCATTAATTGATAATTTATTGATTCATAGAAAAATGAGGAGTTTCTCCCATTAAATTAGATTTCTTATAAAATTAATCAGAATTTGAAAATGAATCAAATGCTATTTTTTCAAAATCTAATATATATATTGGCTTATCATTTTAATTTATAATTTTATTATCCTTAAGTAAATCTGTTTATTTATTTTCTTCCAAAAAATTTTGTTAATAAATAGATGATTCTTGAATTTTAATATTTTCAAGAGAATTTTAACTAATTTAATCTAATCCTAAATTTTAATAACTTTCACGATTATCATCATCTTAATCTACAATAAGTGCATTATTTAATTAATCAGATTATTAGTTATCTTAGAATCCCAATTATTCCATTTAAGCAATTAAAGAAATTTCAACCTAATTACTAGCTTAATCTATAAATATAGAATTTTTGATTAGATCTTCAGTTTATGATTACTATTAAAATGATATATCTGGAATTTAAAAATCATTCAAATTAGAATTATGATATGTAATTTCAACAAAATCATTATTCAAATCAATTGAACTATTGCTAGGACCTTAATTAGATACATCCTCATTTGTAATTGAATCAATTTGATCTTACATAATTATTATATTCTATTCTAATACTTAACTTCTTTCAATAATTGAATTATCTGATAATGTTGCCATATAAGATTTATCAAAACATATTTCTTTATAACTATTATTAATCTCTTTACCTTCTTTATTTTAATCATCATATTCTTCAACAAAATAATATTGATTAGAATGTTAATTATTTAATTTATTTTGATTATTTGTTATTTTAGACTTTTGACTATAAAATTTGACTTTATTTATAACCTCTTCTCTTAGTTCATAATTTAAATATTCACTCATTTTTTTAACAATACTTTACCAAAGATATCTTGCATATTAATTCTTATCTTAATTCACTATATCAAAATAAAGTAATAGTAAAATCCAAATTTCTTTTTTGTTCAATATTGTAAACCCAATGAAATCTTTTTCTTCAGGTACAAATAATTAAAATGTTATATGTTTACGAAGTGAATAATTTGGATCAGTAAACATTAAATTTATACTTGTAAAACATTTTACATAATTTCCATTTTCTAAATCTGAAATATTAGCTTGAATGTCTTAAATCAATAATTATTGTTCTTATAATTGTGTTTCTTTTTTTTAACCATTCATTTACTTTTATGAAGGATGCTCTTCATATTTTCTAAGGGAAGACATAAAATTTCTATCAATTGATGACAACCTTTTCTTCTACATAATTGTTAAATATATAATATTGAATTTTAAATTTTCAAAATTATTTGGCGCTTTTATATTATATCGTTGATAACTTTATTGATAACTCAAAATTGATTAATTGTATCATTATTATTCTCTTCTTTAAGATTACTAATCATGGTTCTTTATTATTCAACTCTATTTTCATAAGTTTAATATATAGTTTTCACTATTTGTAATTAATTGAATAACATATATTTTTCATCCTATTCTCTTCTAATCTTAGAATTAAATGCTGAAATCTCATTTTAAATCTCTATTCTTTTTTCTTTCATTAACTATAACTCATTAAGTTTAGCCTGAATATTTTTGTAAGACTAATTCAGATTACCAACTTATTATTAATTTTTAATCTCCTATAATTAAGCTTTCTTTAAAACTAAGTCCTATTGAAGTTATTACAACTTTTTCTCTTCTTCAACACATGGACGTATATTTTAAATTCTTAATTTTAAAGTATTAATGAGTCTTTCTTTCTCCTATAATAAAGTTGTTAAATAGGCAGAGTCTTATATAATTTCTTCCTATCTAATTTATTCTTATGATGTTATAGGATCATTATTTAATCTCTTTTTAATAAATGCTATTTTGGCATCCAATATTAGTATTTATTATTTTTATTCACTTATTGCATCTACACTTTATTGAAGTTTTTATGTGATTTCAATTTTTTTGTTTTCATTCTCTTATATCCTATATTCCAAATTTTTTATATCTTCCTAATATTCTTCTTCCATCCTCTTCAATTTCTCTAACTCAGCTTCAACTTATTATTTCTTTTCATTAATTTTTTATTCATCACCTGTATAGTCTACTTCTTTAAAAATATTGTTAAATTGATTATCCATTTTTTAAAATGATGAATGAAATAAATATTATTTTTTAAACTAAAAAAACCATCAAATTAGTACAAAATCTATATAAAATTATAATGAATTTTTTATTTCCCAAAATATAACCTAGACCCATCAATCTATTAGAGACTTAATGTTAAAGTGCCCTAAAAGAAATTAGTTCATCAAAACAACGTCTTTAAAAATATACATCTAAAAAAAACTCAAATAAAAATAGCATTTCATAAAATTCATACATTCATTAAATAAGAAAAATTTCTCAGGTTATTAATGATCATAGTCCAGATATTAAATAATTTCCAGATTTAAATAATAAAAATATGTCTGTTTGTATAAATCCAAAAACAGAGAAATATAAAATTCATCTTGATTTAATTGAAAATTAGAATCCTATATAAATACCTCATTTAAGCATAAAAATACCATAAAAATATTCACCAATTTAAGCTAGTAAAATTTTACCTTTTACTAAAAGATTTAAAACAGATGTAAGTGATGCATAATAATAAATTTATAAAATTTCTAATCATTTTACTATTCAAACTGTAAAAGATAGACAATAAAAATTAGTAAAAAATATATAATCGTTAATTGTATATGTTAATTCATCTAGAGATGAGAAACTCTGTAAATTATTCGATAAATTAAAACATGATTTAAATTTAGATGATATACAACTTGAAAATGAATGAATTTGTTTATACTTCTCATTATTTAATATTAAATAAAATATAAATTGTATTTATTCAAAATTGTAGTGAATTAAACTTAAATTTTCTATTCTTAATTCTAGAACTAGAGTTTATTTCAAACATTCTTTCGATTTCATTCGCATTAGAAATATAACTAATTACTTTCAAACTTTCATTTCCTTCAAATTATGATGAATTGCTTTAATTACTATCTAATTTAATTTATGAAAGTTTTTTAGGCATTATTTTTTGATTGACTAATTTAAATTAGCCTAATTTTAGTTTAAATTATAAATTTTCTTATTTTTAATACATATCCATTTATGGTTGATGTTGATTTAATACTTTTCTTTATTTTATTTTTGGCAAGATTACTCCTATTTTTTTATTTTTGCTTTATAAATCATTCATTGCTTTCTAACAAATAGTTTTTAATAAATTAAGAGTATGAGTACTATCTTATGGAATCATTGAAGTTATAATAAAGTAAAAATTATATCTATTTAATAATTAATCTTTATAATAAAAGTATAAACTAATAATTAATGATGTGCTTGAATTAGTAGTATATAATTAATATATTATTATTATAGAAATAAATACAATAATATTAATTATGAAATAACCTATTTTAGATAATTATTATAAAGAACTAAACATAAACTAACTTTATTCACTTAGATCTCTTAACAAAACAAAATTTGAGAAATTAAATCATTAAAATTATTTTGTTCCAAACATTTTAAGTCCAAAGAATAATATTTCTAATAGAAGTAGTATATTAAAAGGAGGAGATGGATTAGTTAATTAGAAGCTTCATCGTTCCTAAAACAATTCAAGAAACTTTCCAGATATTTATATTGGATCTAAGGGTACAAAAAATATCTCCTAACCTTACATTAATTAAGGATAGAAGAAATAGTATAAAATTCAAATAGAACCGTTGGAAGAAGAACGTTTGGAAATTCCATATTTAAGACTCAATTTTAGATTAAAACATGGATACAAAAAATAAAATTAAGACAAGAAAGAAAAAATGAGTTTAGATAAAGATGATCTAAAAGTTTAAAATAATAAAAGTGCCAGTCTATTTAGAGAGAAACAAAAGGAAATTATAACTAAGGCTTAAATACAAATTTAAGAATTATTATTAAAAGAAAATCAATAACTAAGTTTTGGTTTTGATAGATTAGAAAGAGATCTATTACAATAAATGAAATGAAAAGGGTTTTGAATTTTTTATTGTTTTGGTTTTGATTGTTGTAATAATTTATCAGATTTCATTCTAAAAAATGCTAGAATAATTAGAGGATATTATGACATTTTTCATTTATAACTGGATTATTAGTAAGTAATAAAAATATTTGTGAATTTATATAATCATATATGATAGTATTTTGTATTTTGAATGGATATAAATCATTTATGTATCCAATATTGCAGTATTCTTATTTAGATATGAGAAATTAGTTAATTAAATTATTAAACATTTTAGTTTTTTATTTTATCCAGGTTAGACAACACATTAAATATATAATGAATATTTACATACTCTTATAGATTTTGCTTCAAAAGCATAGATACTTATATTATTGAATAGTTTATCGCTTCATTTAAATTTTTAATTTTAGACTTATGCCATTTAATCAAACAATTATGATATAATTGTCTTCTTAAAGATTTAGTCATATAGAAAATAAGTGGTAAATATGTTAATTTCTTGTTCTTTTTTTATTCATAAACCAAAATCTTTATTTAATCATCCATCTTTTGACATAAAAATCTCACCAAAAATTCTAACTTTGTAAATTAATTCATCAATCTGATCTTTTTAATTTTGATTTAATTAGCTTTAATAAGGTGCTTAATCTTATTCCTTTTAATTATCGAATTAATTAATTAATCTCAAATTTTAATATCAATTACAACTAAATTTTCATTCACTTTTTTTAATACTAGAAACATAAATTTATAAACAATTAATTATTTATATTGAATAAAATAATTAAATCAGATAATGTTAATAAATATCATATAATTAATTGAAATTTATTTCTAATAAAAAAAAAGTTTATATTTCCTATTAGATCCAATTGTTTGTTGAGGAAGGAAGTTTAATTTATAATTTAATGCAACTATCAATTTATTCACATAAAAAATAGTAAAAGAACAATAAATGGTATGAAGAGTTAATTTACATTATATATTTTATTTAGTAAATAAATTTAATCACTTGTTTTGAAAACTTGACTATTCTAAGAAAGCTTGAAAGAAATTTGTTGTATTTCTTATTGATAATATTTATCTATAATTAATTTATTTCTTATATATGATAAATTTGATATATCTGTTTGAGAATATATTCTATTATTTTTAGATATTTGATCCTAAAATTCAATTCTATAAAACAAAAATACATACTAGAAAATACAGAACACTTATCCCTATAAATTATCTAAATGATTTTTACTATTTTTTAGAAATACATCTTAATTCAAGTATGAAAAATTAAATATATAAAAATGAGATAATTAATCAACCTTCTTATTATTATTTACTAAAAGTAGATCTTGGAGTTCTTTACTTTCTTAAAGTCTGTATATCATCTGTTTATTGAGGAAGTCTTATTGTATTTGTTGAGGAAGTGTAATAATCATTATATGGAGTCAAATTTTCAGATACTTTTATAAGTTTCTCACTTCTTTGATTGGAATAAGGTTCATGAAATTCTTCTTAATTTTATTGTTTTGACTTTAAATATATTAATAATCTTATACTTATATTATTTATAATGGTTAAGATTAATCTGATGTTGAATCTCCTCTTGTTTGTCTATTCATTTTCCCATTATTTGGTGTGAGTTCACCTATGAAATTCTTAGAGAACTTTCTAGCTACTGCTTGGCGTAATGAAATTACTGGAACAACTTTAGTCTCTTTCTCTAGTTGCTCTTATAATGGCTCTATGGTTTAGTATTGAAGATATGTCATCCAAAATCCATATAAAGATATAACAATTATTATTATAGAGATTATTAACAAAATTGTTCTTTTTGTCGAGCTAAAAGATTGCTGTGTTTCATTGAATTCTATGAAAGTTAATTCCATGAAACAAGACAAAAGTAATATTATTCCTGAACTTAAATCAAATAAAGAGGTCAAAACATTTACTCCTACCATTATTTTTCCAATATATAATACTGAATGTCTGACAAAGAATATTAATTATAATATAAGTCCAATTACAACCAAACTACCTATCTCTTTATAATATTTCAAATACCTAAACTTAATAAGCTCAGAGCTATTGGTCTTTAAAATACAAGTAATTCAAATTGTTCTAAAAGTCCAAATATTCCTATTGCTATTAAAAGAAACCCCTAAATGGCATTAGTTGTCATCATCAAATAAATATAATGTTTGTAAGTAAAGAACATGCAACAATAGCATACCCCAACGCTTTAATCATTGTAATCCATTTTTCTAATTGTTTTATTAATTATCTAAAATTTTCAATTACTGTACATTCATAGACCCAAGTTCAAAGTATTAGATTGTTTAAATATCTATAAGGAACACATTATCTTAATGAATAAGAGAGATATAGATATTTTTATCTATAGATTTCATTTTTATCTATTTAAGCATAAAATCCAATCAATTATTAGTATTGTTTAATTTTTGATCAAATATTGGAAGGCCATCATAATAATTTTTTATAATCATTGTTTTTAATTCATTTTTTGATATCAAATTCATATTTTGTTCTTTTCTTTGTAAATTTTGAATTTCAGCCCTTAAAAACATTAGGTTAACAATAATTATAGTATATTATTCATATTTCCGATGTATTTTATACTCTCAACAAATAATAAGTTAAACATCCATCTCTATAACTGATTGATATGATTAAAAATATTTGACTAGTAAATAGCGTTTAGATTGAGTTAAATAAAGGTATTATTGCTATCTTTTATAGATTATCAGATTTTTAGTTAAGGTTTTATTTTTTTAACCTAATTTAACCTTTCAATTTAAAGGCTAATAATAAATAATTACAATTAGGAATTATAAATTATGATAGTTATATAGTTATCTGATATACTTACTATAATCTTAGAATATACTATTCTTCTCATTTTCTAAATGTTAAGATGTCAAAATTAAAATAAAATATAATAAATTTACATTCAAGTTCACAATTTGTTTTTCAAATAAATAAATATTACTAATTTATTATAACATACTCTCAATTATATAAGTATGTATTAAGAATATAATTTAAATAAAAACAATTATTAATATTTATTCAAAATGGGAAGAAAAAATAGGGATTTATCATATTTAAAGCCATTTTGTTTTTACTGTGATAAAACATTTAAAAATGAAGTTTATCTACATTAGCACTAAAAGGCAAAACATTTTACTTGTTAAAGATGTTTTAAAAAGTTTTCATCTTGCGATTCTTTGAAAAATCATGTTGAATCTGCTCATCATGAAGTTTTAACTAAGTACTTTATGTTTAAAATTAGAATACCAAATGCTACTGGAGACAGAAGTGATATAAAGAATAAAATATTTGGAATGCAAGGTGTCCCTAGAGTTGAAATTGAAAAAAGAATCAGAAAAGGTGCTGAAGAATATTGGACAAAGATTTTAAGTGCTTAATATCAATAAAGAAGGAAAGAAAATAAATAAAGAATAAAACAAAATAAATTAGTGGCAAAATAAGAGAATTTATAAGAAATTAGATAAGAAGTAATTATATTAATTATTACATCAAGAATGAATAAGAAGAAATCAATTAATATGAATATAATCCAGAAGCTAAACCAATCAGTTTTGATCTTGATTTTGATTAATTACCAAAATAATGAGGTATTTTTATAATGAAAATAAATTATACACTTAGAAAATTAATCTAGAAAGTAATTGAATAGCAAGAAAAGAATAATCACCCTAAGATTAATTATAATTTTTGAGCAATTCTCTCATTTACTTCTTTTTTTTAATATAAGTTTTCCAAATAAGGCATTAATTCTTCTATTAGATTTTGTTTTGTTTATTTTAAAAGAGCAATCACTAATAAAATTTATTCCTAATATTTAAATGTTTCTAAAAGAACTTTTAAATTGTTGATTACATCAAATTCTTTAAAAATTTTCATAAATAATGCTCTAGGACATTTCAATAACATCTAATAATGTAAAAGAAGAATTAATCTTTAATGTCTATTAGTATTCTATATAACTAATATTTATTCAACTAATTCATTATTACTAATTATTTTCTCAACATAATATTAAGAGTAATAATAAAGAATACCTAATATGTACTTCTATCGATCATTTATTTTTAAATGATGAGGACATTATTAAATGAATATGCTTTGATTCAAAAGAGTAATAAATTCTACATTATCATCAATAATTTAATAAAGTAATTGAACAATAATTTAATCAATACCTTTATTAAAATTATCACAACATATTTGTATAATTTCATTTTATATATATTATACAGATACTAAAGATAAAAATCCCTTGAAACACTCTTCCTAAATTTTGAAAATTTTTGGATATTTATTTTAGTAATATGAAAATATTTTATAATATTTTTCTTTTATTTTTAATTCTTCTTCTAAATATAATGTTATTACATTAAGAAATCTTAATCTTTATACTAATTATTCTATATTTTAATATTAATGAACTTCATTCTCTATTATTTCAAAAAGAACTAAATCTTAACTTGAAATTTTAACAGAATTTTATGAATATAAATTAGATAAACCAACTATTGCTAAATCTTTTTCAGAAGAATTAAGCAAATCAGAAAAGTATTAAATTCCACCTACTTCAATTAATTCAATAATTTATTGTCTAGAACTTTCACTGATATATATTAATTTATTAATTGAATCTTAATCTTTTTTTTTTAAGAGTTCTATTAAATATTATTTTGGATAAAATGTTTATCTCTTCTCTTTAAATATTCTTTCTTATTCTATTCTTTTTAATTTTCGACAGAAACTTTCTCTTTTTAGAATTAATTCACTCATCATTTAGTTAAAAACAAAATTTATAATATAGTGAAAATAATCAATTTTTTTCTAGAATTGCTAATTTAGCTTTTATGCTTGCAATATATAAATTATTTGCTTCCTCTTCAGCTTATAAATCTCTATTTATTAATGCTAATTTTTCTCTTTCTTTTGCTTTTTATTCTAATTTTTAAACATTATTTAAAACATTTTAAACTTTTTATTCATTTTCTAAACCTTTGTTTTCAATTATTCTTTAATAATATATAGATATACTTTTCCCATTAATCTTCCATATTTACTTAAGCTTTTCTTTACTGTCTTAATTATTATAAATAATCAGTTGTTTTAGGTTTTGGTGGTAATTCTGAAGGTTTTTCAACCTTTTCTACAATTTTTTATTACTTTTTAATTAATGGTTTTGGTGGTCTATTCTCTTAGTGATTACTTAGATCAGTAATTGAATCTTTTGAATCATGACTAAAATGTCTTTATTGAGGAATGAACCTTTTAATTTTTTTAAGGTTTTATTCAGTAATTTAAATTTCTTTTATTTATTTTGATTAATCTTCTTTTGGAGGTGGAGATTATTTTGGCTTTAAAGGATGTTCTTTAAAATATATCTCTTAAGCAACATCAGCATATTTTAATTATTTTAATCTGGCTAATTTCTTTTATTCCATTTCTTATTCTCTTAGCAATTTTTACAATTTTTGTTCTTCTTCAATTCTCATTTAAGCTTGACTTTTAGGAAATTTGAGTGATTTTTATTTAATTTCAAATTCTATTTCTTATTTATGATGTTCCCTTTCATATTCTTTAATTTTTCTATCCTCTTCATATTTCTTTTAATGTTCTGTCAATTCACTTAATTTGATTGGTTAACTTAACTCTCTTTTTTAAGCTAGAACAGCCTTAATATTAAAAATAAATACTTTTCGTTTTTCTAATTCAGGAATTTATAATGCTTCTTCTTTTTATTTAAGTAATTATTCTTTCTATTTCATTTTTTCTTAAATCTACTTGATTATTCTATTAGCCTCTTATTATTATTTTAAAATTCTTTCTTTTTCTGCTTTGTCTTCTTCCATTCTTTATAAAATTAATTATCTCTTATTAGGTCTTGGAATATTAGCTAATTCTTCTGCATAAGCAAAAGCTTATTCTTTGGTTGTTTATGATTATTTTGGAATTGAATTATTTTTTGGTCTTTTCTTTTATTCTTGAGAATTATGTATTTTTTATTTTTATTCTGTTTCCTCTTGTAATTCATTTAATAATAATCTATCTGATTATTTTTCATCCAAAATCATGGCTGAATCTTATTATAGAATCCCTGATAATTCGCATTTTTATATATTTTATTGATTTATTGATTAATTATTAGTATTTATTTATTAAGATTATTGATCTGGAGTATAAATTCTTTATTATGAATTTTAATCAAATGATTTCTATTTCTATATTTGTATTAATTTATTAATAGAGAAATTATGACTAATTGTTTTTGATTTAATAATTGATCCTGCTATTGAAAAGAAGGATTTAAATTTTTATAAATTTACCTTGTCATTTTAAACTTTTTAGACTATTATTTGCATTCCTTCTTTTAGTTCAATCAATGTCTAATTGTCAGTTGTAAGTAATTCAAAATGAAATGTTATCTAATTAATAATAATAATGAGTTACATTAAATTAATCTTAAATAGCAAGAATTAAAGCTTCAATTGTTGGATCTTATAATTAAATTTCATGTTGTTCAGAATTAAGAGAAATAATAACTTTCATAATAAAAATATTAATATAATTTAATATTCATATTTGAACAAGAGAACCCTCTTATAAAAATTTGATAACATCTGATTTCTTTACTAATTATTGTGTTCCTTCCTCTAAATCAAGTTCATCACCATCTTATGTGATTATATTTCCAATTTATTTAATCACTCTTACTTCTATAAAAACTTCTGATGGTGGTATTATATTCTAATATATAGATAGATAAATTATAATTACTTAACTTACTTTAGTTTCAATATCATTTTCATACCTTTTGACTAATTAATCAAAAAACTTATAATAATCTTTTTCATTTTTAGATAGTTAATCTAAATGATCATTACTCAATTAACCAGAGTCTATAAAATACTAAGACTATATTTTATTAATCTAATTATGCTTATTATAAAAATTACTCTATGCATTAAATATGCTAATTAAACCCTTTTAGTTCTTTCAACATCTTTTATTTTTAATGAAATAATAGGTTTAATTTTATCAGCTAATTCAGGATCATTACGAAGTCTAAGTTATGATAAATGTAATCACTTATAAATTTCTTAGATTTCTCTAATTGATTTCTGATGATCTGTCGTACATGTTGAATACAATTCTTCATTAAATGGAGGAAGAAATAATGAAGTTTTAAGATCGAGCAATAATCTATTCCTATTTTTAATATCCATAATTATATATAAAATATTATATTTTTCATTTAATTTTTATTCTAATTTATCAAATATATATAAAAATTAAGAGAAAATTTGAATTTCATTTTGAACTATTGAATGAGTATGGCTTTAATATTCTAAATATGAATTATATATACTTCTATAAGTCAGAATTCTGATTTATAATAAATTTTATTTTATTACTATAATTAATTATATAAAAAGAATAAAGTAACACTATGCTCATTAATTGTCAACTATAAAGATATTATATAAATCAATAAAATCTCAAATTAAACACATAATTTTCTTTGTTGCTTATGATACACAAATATAATTTTTTCTTAAGAATTCTTGGGGAAAATATGGGGAATGAATAATTTTCTTAAGTTCTTTTAGACAGAAATCCAAAATGGTTAGATAAAAATAAGAATTTTGTAGTCCTAAAGATTTGATATAATAAATATAAAATTTATTTAATTTAAATTTAGATAAATTGATTATCACATTTATATAAATTTAAATATAATACTATATTATAAATAATTAATTAAGTTACATCATGAAAGATATCTCATTTAGAGGTTTCTTATCCTTAAAAAATATCAAAAATCCTCAATATAAGATTGAATAGCTATTGGATTACCGAAAAGATAAATATTTAAGAGATATATTACCAATTAAAATTAAAAATTTCGAAATAGAACGATTAGAATGGGTTGATTTTATTGGTAAACTCAATGAAGAAATGCCATGGATTGCTCATTGTTTTTGGAATAATATGTATGATTACTAATTAATCGAAGGGAAAGAAGAACCTTTAATAAATAATAATTATCACCAATATTAACTTTAAAACAATCAAATGAGGCTAAGACTTTGATTACAAATAGGATTTATAACAATAACCTTAAATAATTTCTAATAAAATAAATGAGTCTTAAGAATAAAAAAATTTAAGATAATAAATTCCTAATTTATAACATAAATTACTTCCTCTACCTAAAATTAATAATCGACTCTTTAATAAACATCAATCATTTTCAACAAGAGTTTCAAATGTTTAGAGAATTATTGGCATTTCAATTTCTAAAAATTCTTCTCCTTAACATAAAGTTGCTAGAAGCAATTTAGTTTTAGTTTAAAAAGGTAATCTACAACTAGATAGAAGATTAAATTATCAGTTTCTTGTAAATTCTCTGAAAAATCTTAGGCCAAATCATTTTCAGATGCTTAATTATTAGAACACGAAACAGGAAATTATCTGATAGAATGGATATGTGCTTTGGAATTCAAAAGATAAATTGAATAATTAGGAATAATGATGTCAGATAATCATTCAAATGAAATAAAATCAATATTTCAAACTAATTTAAGAATTTTTCTAAAAATTGAAAAAGACTTTGATGAAGAGACCAACCATTAATTTAATATTTATTAATAATAATAATGGAATCACATAATAAAAGAGTAATTGTTTTTATATGAGATGTATTTTAACAATTAATATTAGTGGAATAATACTAATTCATTAATTTTTATCAAATTCTTAATCGATTCTTAAGGAATCAATATTTAGTCTTAATTATAATAAGTAATCTTTAAATTAAAATAAGTGATTACTATATTGATCTTATAAAGACTCAATATATTATACAATTTAATGTAGTAACTATTTTTCTTTAATTTTATTTATTTACAATTTACAAGTTATTTCTTTCGTTCGGTTTATATTTTAATTATTTATTTATTATATCGAATCTTTAACGAATTATAATTGTTCTTTCAAGATTTCTAATTCTTTTTAATTTTCCTTTAAATTCATCTCATCATTCAATAAACTTTATTTTTATTGATCAATTTCCTTTTAGCAGCTTTACTTATATAAAATATGAATACAGTTTTAATTTCTCATTTATGATAACTTTTTGAGTATCTATTTTTTTATTTTATTCTTATTAGAAGTCTTTATAGAGATCATTTGAAGATTTAGTTTTTTATTTCATCATAACATTTTATAAACGAATCTCCTATAACTTTTGTAAAATATTCATTCTTTCTTGATTTTCAATGATGAATTTATCATTAAATAAGTCTTTTTCAGTTGACATTTAAGTAGAACGTTCAGATATAAGATTCATTGATTTCTTATGACAAAGAAATATTTATTTTTTAGCATCTTTACTTGGAGTTTATAAGTTACCTTATGGAGAACTAACTTTTGATTTTTATATCATCTAACTTTTCCAAGTTTAAATAATAAATTGTCTTTCCTTATAATTATCATAGGTTATTGTGTCTTTTTCAGACTTTTAATCATGTTATAAAGCCTTACAATTCATATCAAATTTAATACTTATTATTTATAAATATAGTAAATGTTAAAATATATATTCAGATTTATTAATCAAGTGTTGTTTGCATTTGCATATAAATGTCATTGAATTTATTAATATATTCTCCAATTTAACAATTCTAATTCAGCAATTATTCTTTCAAATATTTTTTGATGAATTAATCGACTGTTAATAGTATTTATTTGTGTTTAAGAATACTCTATCTATTATAAACTATTTCATCTTTTAAAGATCTATTATTAGTACTGATTTCAAGTATTTTTTAATCTTCATTCAATTAATCTAATTCAAATTTCAATTGTTGTAATTATTATTTATTAGATTAATATTTTTGCTTAGCATATTTTAGTTATTATTTCTACTCTTATAAATTTTTTTTAGTTCTATATTTATAATAGTTAATACTTAATGATTTTTTATTCAAAATTTTCTATTTGTTCTTCATTATTCACTATTATTGGTTGTAAATTTTAATTATTTTGTGGTGATTTACCAATCCAATAACATAATTTTTATAATTTTTGATCAGTTTCATTAACAAAATTTTCAAAACTCGTTATAAGTAATCTGTCACTAAATACATTATCTTCTTTAATGACTTCAGTTTTATTTGTTTTTAGTTTTGCTGTTAATAGATTCATTTTCTTTTACAAAATATCCCTTTTATTCATTTGTTAAAAGTATTTAATGCTATTTGAAGTTCTATATATTTTATCTGTGGAATCTAGTTTATTAGTTGGACTCAATACTCTTAATCTTGAATTTGGAGATGTATTTGGTGTTAACAAACTTTAAGGAGTATACGAATTCTATTTTTAAGGTTGCCTTTACTAAAGTATTTTATCTAAACTTTTAATGCTAATACATTCATTCATAATATAAAATAAAAAGTATTAAACTTATTTCTGATATAACTAATAACATATATTATTGGTAATTGATACCTTCAGATTAAGATGTTATTATTGTTTTCAATATTCAAATCTAAAATACATAAATATAATATTAGTAATACTTAAAAGCAACATTAGTATACATTAAATAGTGGATTATTAATCAATAAAATATATATCTATTATAATAGATTGTTAATTCCAGTCCATAATTAATATATAACAAAGTTAGAAAAATTTAAGAAGAGACTCAAAACAAAAAGTTAAAAAAAAACTAATCTACAAAAAGATTTAGAAGTTTGAATACAAAAAGAACATTGTTATATCCAAAAGAAAAGACCAAATGGGCTTGCAGAATCAAAATTAACTTTAAGTGTAATTAAATTATAGATAACTATATAAATAAACTCTAAAGATTTAAATACTTTTTATTATGAATTAAGTATTAAAAAATTTTATAAGATAATTTATTGAATTTTTTAAAGAATAAGAGATAATAATAATGAAATATAAACTTATTTTATTCAATAAATTATATAAGAAATAAAGAAAATTAAAAAATAATACTTTATAATAAACATCATTAATCAAACAACAATTTTAGACTTATCAATCATAAATTTAATTAGAAACTAAGAAGAATAATTACTCTCTAATCGATCAAAACATTTTGATGTCAAATATTTTAATTATTACAGCAATTTTTTCACTAACTCTCTTTTTTCATCTTTAAATTCATTAACATTTATTTATTTAATTGAATAAAAGAATAAATGTTATGCTGCTTAATAAGTTTTCTTGCTTTAATTTAGTGTTATTAATAATTATAAAAATTTTAATATATCTTCTTTTACCATCTTTTAGGATAACATAGAGACAACATTATCATAATCATCTTGCCTTAAATATAAATAATATTTACTTATAAATTTCAGTGACAGCTTAAATAAAATGTTTTATATAATTATTCTAAAATGCAATAAAAGCTGCATCTAAAAATAGTTTATCTCTCATAAAATCTTGAAATGTTTGCAATTTTATTTTAATTTCATGTTATTGAAGTTATTATTGTTAAGTAACTTACTCTGTCTTATCTTTCCATAAAATTAGATTTGAATCATTTGCTCCAGTTACTATATATACATCTTGGTTTTCTCTCTTTATATCTAATGCATAAATTTTGCCAGTATGTTATGAAAATGTATTAATACATGTTTATTTTTTAACATTCCATAATTTAATATTACCAATTGAATCAGAACTTATTAATTCAGATCCTCTAGCCAACCATGAAACTTTTAATTAAGGAGCAACTCCTTAAAAAGATTTAATTATAGATCCATCACTAAGATTCCATAATTTAATAGTATTGTCACCACTTGCTGAAGCCAATATTTTTTCAACTGGAGAGAATTATATATCCCAAACTCCCCTTTTATGTCCTTTAAGTATCATCTTATTCATTAAATTTTCATCCCATAATTTAATAAGTCTATCTTAAGAAGATGTAGCAATAAGTTTATTATTTGGTGAAAATCTAACACAATTCATCTCTTTTTCATGAGCAACTACAGTTTTGATAGATTATTCTGATTGATAATTCTTTAAATCCCATAATTTAAGAGTTTTGTCTTTTGAAACTGAAGCAATATATTTGGAATTTACATCTATAGATATTACATCATCAGAATGTCCGCTATATTTATGTAATTCTATTGGTTATTTGAATCCTTTATATTTGAATATAATGACACAATTATCTTTTGAAGCTGTTACTATTAGATCATCTATAAATTCACAACACATTATTACACTAAAATGAGCCTTCCAAGCTATTACTTCCATATTATCTAAATTTAATATTCTAAAATATAGATATTTAATATTACTTCATAAATGGTGAATTTGTAGCTAAAAGTAATTAATTATTTTTAATAAACTTTACATCTAGTATTTCATCATTATATCCTAATAATAATTTTTATTATTAAATTTAACCAGATACTAATTCAGTTATATAAATATGTAATTCACTTGTAATAATATATAATTTCTCATTGCAATTAATAAATTTTAATATTTATTATCCATTAAATTGTTAATCTATAACAATATTTTTATTTTATTATTTGATATGCAAATCTCCAGATTCAGTACCAATAATTAAGGTATTTTTAAAATAAATAAATGTTTCAATTTCAATATCAAATTCTATAGTTTCACTCATTTTTTATACACTAGTATCCCAAAATTTAATATATTTATTACAACTTGAAATTAACATATGTTGATTAAATTATATATGGGTAATCCTACTATTAAAGTCAACAAAAGCACAAAGTATTCTATTAGCTACTAAATCAAATAATGAGATGCGTCTATCATCTGTGGCAATAGCAATTTATAATTTTCTCATAATAGGAATCCATTATAATTTAAGAACACTTCCACTTACTCTAAATTCAGTACTTTATTAATTCTTTTTAACATTTATAATTTTGACCATGCAATTTGTACCACCTAAAGCCAAATAAACATCTTCTGGACTAAATTACATATCAATGGCAAATAAAGGATCTGTTTTTATTGTAAATTAAGTAATATGATCATTCAATCTAACATATCTGAGCATATAATTCTTTGTAAATGTTGCAATATAATCATTTAAATTGCTCACACAAAAATTTGCTATTTCTTCTTAATTATGCTAAATTTTTTTATCAAGATATTGCACACAAAAATTAAAACATGTATATATCACATTATTTGTTATTTGTATTTTACCACCTTAATAAAATGGCAATAACTATTTAATTGGTTCAATATGCGTAATAAATTAATCCTCATTAATAATTTGAACCTATTTTGTTTCTGATTCTTTTTTATCTGTTCCAATTTATTTGGATTACAATGATAATTTACTTAGTTTTAACCTAAGTAGACGTCTTGATTTGAGTAATTTGGTTGATTATACGATTTTAACCATATATTATTATATAATTAATTATTAATAAGAAATTGCAAAAGCATTAAAAAAAATAAGTTAAATTAGATGAAATCATTTGGTTTTGACTATAGTCTTGATATCCTTCCATATGTCATTTACAGGTCTTTCTGCATTTACTTCAAATAAAATTCCTTTTCTAAAATTAATAATTATTTTAGTTACTTTCTGTAATAATCAATAATAGGAGATGTCTTAGTCTAATAAACATTTAATCTATTTCTGATTGTAGCCTCTTTATCATCATCTCTTTAGACTAGAGGTTCACCTGTAATATCATCTACTCCATGAACCTTAGGAGGATTGAATTTATAATGATAAGTTCTTCCTGAATTCAAATGAGTCCATCGACCTCCAAGACGATCAACAACAACTTGCTCTTGTACATTCATAAATATTGCTTAATCAATCTATTATCCGCTTTATTTCAAAATCTAATCAAGTTTTTCAGCTTAAGGAATAGTACGAGGGAATCCATCTAAAATTGCACCATTAGCACAAGCAGGTCTTAAATAAGAAAAGTATCATACTTTGCTAATTGTTATTTGATGAGATTGCACATAACTTCATCTTCAATTAATTCTCCTCTCTCCATGATTCCTTTTAATTTCTTTCCAAATTCACTTCCTGATCTTACTTCTTCTCTCAATAAATCTCCTGTAGACAAATGGCACATACAAAAACGAGCCAACATTTTAGCTGAATGTGTTCCCTTACCTAAGTTGAATAAATTGTATTAATTACCTGCTCCTGGCATTCCTAGAAATACAATTCTTTTTTTCAATGCTTCTTCTTGACATCTATATCTCCTGTAAAGTTCTTAAATTAAAGCAGCATTAGAAATCTTGGAGTAGGCTTATGTATCCATTTGATTTATTATTATAATTAATTAAGTATATTTTTAATATATTTTAAGATATATATCCTAAAATAATTATTATAAAAATTTATATTAAAAATTTAATATCTCGTCATCATATTAATTAATCATTAAATTTTATAATTAATTGTTTATATAATGACATAATATTTCTATTTCCATCCACATTGCTTCAGATTATATTTCCATTCTATTTCTCTAAGTTAAGACTTAATTTAAGAAATTAATAATTTCTAATTTTCACGAACCAATATTAAAATATAGATAGGCCCAATATTCAATATCATGCTAAACTATGTTTCAATTAAAAGAATTGGCTTTCTAATTATTTTTTATACTTAGTGTACATCTATTAACACAAAAAAATAATACATTTCAACAAAAATAATTCTAAAGATATTTCATATATTAAAACCATTAGATATTTTGAAAATTCAATAGGGAATAAAAATATGTTATGTATAGAAGAAATATACTAATAAATAAAATTAATATTGTTTTATTAATATATTTAAATGGTATTTCATAGTTTCTTTTTAAGAATCCTTTTGAATTTTTATATAGATTATATTAGATAATATTTTTATTGATCTTATGTAGATAATATATAGTATCTAATAAATATGTTTTCTAATTATATATATATATAGCTGGTATACAAATAGGTAGTAAAATACATTAATTAAATAGTTAAACTACATTATTATATCAATAGAAAATCCTTTATTAAATTAATTAAATAATACATATTATAAATAAATTGTGATTATGTTAATTAATAATACGCTAATTAATTGCACATTTTAAGAATATTAGCATAAGATATAGTTTAAAAATAGATTTTTGTAAATAATAGAATATTGATATTAAATGTAACATATTTCATTCAATAGCAAAAGCATATTCCATTCTTCTAACCTCTTAAAAGAAAGATTAAGAGAGATTATACAAATCAAATAAGCTTTATTAAGGGAAATTAGAAAAGCATACGGTTAGAAAGAAATTTGCAAAGTGACTGTTGATTAAGCTATAGGATGTATGAGAAATGTATTTGGTTTACTTTATGATATTTAATTGTTGGATTCGAAAAGTGTAATATATCATATTACTGAAAAGCTATTACATTCAGAGATTACAATGTTCCAGAGATTTAGGAATATTTATAAAAGGCTAAAAATGGAAATGAGCCTTTACCAGTTGCATTGTTTTGGTTATTATTGACAGGTGACTTTCCATCAAATTAATAATTTAAATTTGTTTAAGAAGAATAGAAGAGAAGAGGAGAATTAGACTAAGAAACAATTAAATTCATCATAAATCTTCCAAAATAATTACACAAAATGACAATATTATCTTAGAGTGTGTTATATTTATAAAAGGATTCAAAATTTAATAGGCTTATGAAAGCGGAAAAGCGACTAAACTATAATATTGGGAATATTATTATGAAGTTGTAATGGACTTGGTTGCCATAATCCCAAGAGTTGCAGCATTAATTTGTAGAAATAAATATAAAGTAAAAAATAATAATATTTAATGAGAATGGATATTTGATTATTAGTGATAATTCATTAGATTGGCAGATATTTACTCTCATATGATGGGTTTCAATTAATTTAATGCATATGAATTATTTAGAATGTACTTAAGCATTCATGCACATCATGAAGGAGGAAATGTAAGTACACATGCTACTCATCTTGTTGGATCTGATTTGGCTGATCCATATTTGTCATATTCAACTGGTATGAATGGTTTGGCTGGACCTCTTCATGGTTTAGAAATTAAGAAGTCTTAAATGGTTTATTGAAATTAGAGTAAAATTATTAAATTATAAAATAGGAAAAATTAGGTGATAAAGTTTCTAATGAAAAAATAAAAGAATAATATCTAAATACTATTAGAGAAGGTAAAGTTGTACCAGGATATGGATATGCTATGTTCAGATCTACTGATCCTAGATATATTCATTAAAAGAATTTTGCAGAAAGATTAATTAAAGATGATCCCCTTGTTGATCTTGTTAAATAATGTTATCATGTTATTCCTCCTGTTCTTAAAACAATAGGAAAAATTTTTAATCCATAATGTTGATGCCCATTCAGGAGTTCTATTAAATCATTATGGATTGAAAGAATAGGAATATTACACAATTGTTTTTGTTGTTTCTAGAGCACTTGGATGTAAAGCTAACTTAGTTTAGGCTAGAGCTATTGGATTACCTATTGAAAGACCAGGATCTATTACATTAAGATGGATTGAAGAAAAGTTTGAAGAAAATTAATCTGTTAAATGAAAATGTTTTGTCTATTAAATTAAAAATAAAAATAATGTAATCTAAAGGACCTTCTGCATAATATCTATAAAATCTCATTATAGAAGATCCAAACAGAGCCCCTGAACGTGTTTTTAAAACAAATTAAAAATATGCTGAATATATTGCATATTTGGGTTAACAAAAAGCTCCTATAACTGCCTATACAAAATTAGCTTAATGGAAATAATACTAATTTGAGAATGTTAATTTATTAATTGATCCTGCTAAAATATCACCTTTATTATCTGGACTTACAGATGAAAATAAATTATTAAAACATGAATGTTTCAAATAATCTAATGATATTGTTGAATTAACTACTATGGTTGAAAGATTAATAGATGATAATTTAGTAATAAAAAAACACTTAGATTTAAAGACTAATGAAATGTAACATTTTCTATAGAATTAAAAAACATAAATAAATGAGGAAATATAGGATCTCAAATTTTAAGTTTAATCGTTATAAGATGAAAATAATCTATTGATTACACATTTGGAAGATTTGAGAAGAAATCAAAATGATGATGTGATTAATAATTTAGAAACAGAATTAAGTAATGCTAGAGATTTATTTGAGTAATAGCAATAGAATTTTAAATAATGTTAAGAAAGAGAATATGATATTAGTAGAGAACTTGTTAAAATGAATTCATAATATAAAGATGCTTTAGAGAAGATTGTTGAATTGTCATCATAATTAAGTAGTTATGAAGATAACAATCATGAATTGAGAAATTAAATTATGCTAATTTCTAATAAAATCAATATTATATAAAAGAATGCTTTTGATCAAGTTAATCAAAAAGAAATTGAACTTGAAAGTCTATAAATAAAATTTAATACTTTAATTAAGGACAATAATTCAATAAAAGATTAATTAAATTAATATGAATATAAAATATAAGAATTAATTAAAGAAAATACTAGAATAAATGAAGAAATGAAGATTTTTTAGTTAATGAATAATGAACTTTTGAATTAAGAGAAAGATATTAAGAATCAATTATAATTAGAGAAAATGAAAAAAAATCCAAATATATCAGATGATTAGATGACTAAAGAATAATTAATAAAAGAATGCAGAAGATTAGGAGAGTAATTAGAAAGAGCATAATTAGAATATATTAAATTAGATGATTTCTTGACAAAATAGATTGATTTATAAAAAAAGTAATCTGAATAAATACTTGAAAATATGAAAATTAGATACTAAAATTCTTTAGATAGTAGATAAGAATAAATAAATTAATTAGAAAAATAAATTAGTTCATAGATTGAGTAGATTAATATTCAAAAAAAAGAATTAGATATCATAAATTTAGATTATTTGGAAATTAAATAAAAATAAGTATAATCTTCAATATTTAAAAATAGGAAGATTAATCTTAATTAAAGAAATTAGTAGATTAATAAGTAATGGAAATAAGAGTACTTAAAAGTTAATTATAGGATAAAAAGATGCTTATTAATGAAATGTTAGAAGAAAAGGATAAGATGAGTAAATTGTTTAAAAGTGAATAAATATCATAATAGTAAAATATTCATTTGTTAGAGGAAGAAATAAAATAATTATAAAATTAACAAATTAAATATTAATCATAGAAGGAAGATCTCGAAAAATTATTAGAAATTAATGATAACTTAAAATAAGAAATTCATCATATTTAATAATAATATAAGGATGTTTAATCTCTATGTAAAGATGAAATTGAAAAAAGATAGAATGTATAATATTGATTAATAAAGTTATAAGTAGAAGCAGGTATTTAAGCTAATTAAATTGGAACACTCAAAGAATAAATAAGATATTTTTAAGAATAATAACAAAGAAAAGATAAATTAGACTAGGTTTTATAGGAAAATCAAATTCTAAGAGCTCAACTTAAATAATGATTATATATATATAATAAATAAATATGGAAAAACATAAAACAAAACTATTAATCAAAATAAACTAAGATTATTATCTATATGAAATGAATGTTTAAAAAAGCTATTTGGTCTTTTGTTTTGAGTATTAAAAAAATGGGATGAAATTTATGATTTTTAAATTCCATAAGTTTATTGATATTTTTCATGAGTACATCTTACTTGAAAATTTTTACTCCAAAGAGTACTATAGATTTATTCTTTTTTTTTATGAGTTTATTAATCATAATGAGTAAGATCAATATCAATAACATCAGAAATTAAATTTATTAATTTTGGAACTGCTTAATTATTATTACGTTTAGTGATCACTTATGATGTTTTACGAATACTGTAATTACTAATACTTCTTGTTTTGTTAATTATACATGAAGTTGGTCTATTTATTGGCATTTTATTTACTCTCGGTGATAAAATCTCTTCTTTAGGTTTAGTAACAATTTATCTCTACATATACATCAATATATTATTTAGTACATAATTTGATTTCATTTAAGTGATTGTTTCATATAGAGAAGCGAACAATTTGTTAAATTATGATCTACAATATTCATGTAGCCACTTCATAAGGAGAGGCATAAAAGGAATCTAATTTAATCATCCCCTTTATTACTTTATCATACAAATTATTCTTCTTTATTGCCTGTATTTATTATAATCGATGGTTCATTCCAGATGCAATAAAAAATTGACCATAAAGTTCTGCAATATCTAAAAATTCTCCAGACAAGTTCACCTTCACCTAAAATTGAGGTAACCACTATGTTATTAGTTTTAGTGATAAATGATAGAAAGACCTTCATCATTCAAATCTAATACATCAAATGTGTTTTTGATTTGTTTGGGACCAACATTTCTATAAGTGCAAATTCCTATTCAACTCTTTATTTCTCTTATTTAAGTGATTAAGATAAACATTTCTCATTAACATTAACAAATGATAAGTAATCTGTTGCTGTTTTAATATGTTCTGTTTGATTAAGTCTTTACTATATTGTTTTTGTATTGTTAGCTCTATCAAGCCCTATTTATAAAAGCATTGAAAATATTTCAAATGCATTTGCTTCATGCATCACAGGATATAATGAATAAGTGGACATAGGTTTTAAAATTTAATATATATGATTTTGATAATAATATGACTTATTTCATCAACATGCTTTAAATTGTCTAACTCCTTTCTATTATATATTCTCAATTATAATACAGGTTGACTGCAGGCAGGACATACATGTGTAACATCTTAACAATCTTTCATATAAAATGGTAAGAATGCTAAAAATGCTCCAAAAATACAAAGGGTAACACAACATAACCAAGTATGAGTTCCTGGTTTATGTTGTAATATAGAAACAGCTTAAACTCCACAAGTACTACATTTGAACATTACAGGTTAGCCAAATTCTTTGAATAACATTATTTTTATACCATCAAGTTATTAAGGTAATTAATACTACTCTATTGGAATATTCAATGGAATCTAGTCATCATTAGGTTATTACATATTTTATAAATAAATATAAAACGAATTTATGTTAATAATATAATAATTAAATTATCAAAAATTTTACTATGATTAATTACAAAACAGTATCAATTTTATGGAATATTTTCTATTGAACGTTATAAAATTATTAATAGAATATTTGTATTTTCATAATATACAATAAAATATATTATTTTAGCTGTTTTACTAGTTTTGTATTATCGACTCAAAAGAGAACACATTTAAATGAACGAATTTTGCAGAAACAACAACCGAAATGAACGACTACAATTATATTTTATTACAAATTTAAACTAATGTAAAACTTTAACAGAAAAATTAATTACCCGCATAAAGGATTTTTTTAAACAATAATGAATTCGAAATTTTAATAGTATTAATAAAATTACCATCTTTGAAATTGAAATTGAAAATAGAACTCTAAATTATAAAATAGTAATTAAAAGTAGAATCATGATATTTACATGTATTAAAATATTAAAAAAATAGAATTGAATTATTCAAAAAAGAATCTTATTTTAAATGATTTAGAGAGATGTTAAGAAATTTAAAGTGATGCTTTTGTTATTAAATTATTTAATGATATGAAATAATAGAGAATTTCATCACAAAGAGTTGGAATTTTTTAGAAAGAAGAATACATGGTAATAATATTTTCAATAAAAAATTATATATTTAAATTTAATGAAAGAATATTTCAATATATATTCTATATACATATCAAATATAGAGATTTATTTTTATATTTTGAAAAGATGTTAAAAAACTCAGAAAATTAGTTAAAGAAATTATTGCTCATGGGTTAATAGAAGGCAGGAAAATCTTCAATGCATAAGGTTATCTTCGCATGTGCTCCTCCAAAAGATTTAATATCAATTGGAGTCACAACAAATGTTTCTTAAATTTAAGTAAGATTTATGGGAAATCTTCGTATAGATTTGCTTGATATACCAGGTTAGGTAAGAATTTTATAATATTTAAGCCTAAATTATTGAAAGAATATTTGACTGATTTTAAAGACACTATTTTTTGTAATGTTGAGGTTCTTGTATATTTATTTGATGTTGAGATGGAAGGGGAATAATTTAATTCTGAAATGATTACATTTAGATCTACACTATCTAATTTATCATAATATTCACCAGGATCAAAAGTTTTTGTTTTAATAAATAAATTTGATAAAATTAAGGAAACAGAAAGAAAAATGGTATTTGAAGTAACTATATAAAAATAATATACAAGCGTAAATACAAAAAGATAATATAAGAAGCTGAAGGATTTAATATAGAGGTGAAAGATGTATTTGCAACTTGTATTTGGGATGAAACACTATATAAAGCATGGTCTTAGATAGTTTAGAATTTATTACCTGATAGAGATATAATTCATAATAGTTTAAAATCCTTTTGTCATTAATGTAATTGTGATGAAGTTGTATTATTTGAAAAATAAAGTTATCTTGTGATTGATTTTGTAGATGTTAATGAAAAGAAAGGTATAACTATTAGAATTATGTTAGATATTTTAAAATATGAGAGAATATCTAATATTATAAAATAGTTTAAATTGTCTTGTAAAATGGCTTCAATTGATATTAAAAAAATTATGGTAAAATCATAAAAATTTCATGTACAAATTGAAGAATTTACTGAAAATACTTTTATACTTCTTCTATTTACTGATGAAAAAGTATATCCTGCTGCAATCGAATATAATATTTAATATGTAATTTTTGTTTATGATTGTTTAATAGGCATAGAAATTATTTAAAAGCATAAATGGTTCAGAAACTGATAAATTAAAGTTGTTGCTTTGAATAAAATTGATAATGTATTTATAATTAATTATTGAATTAATAAAATACTTCAAAACTAAATTATTGACAATTAGAACTATGTAGATCCATAATTATAAAATGTTGAATTAAATCTAGAGAATATGTTATTCTATTTTTTAATTTGAAAATTTAAGAAATCATTAAATAAATTTTATACCTATAAATTTATTTGAAAATATTAATTTATCTATTTTAATTTGATTATTTAAGATATATGAATATAATTTTCTGTAAAATATTATTTATTACTATATAAATCAACTGTTAAGTTTAGCTGTAAGATCTTCTGATTTTTTTACGGAATCTACATGGTCAAAAACTAGATTGTATGCTTTTTAAACTACTTCAATTTCAGAGAGTCTTTATTTAAATCATAGATTAATATTACCTTTAAGTTTATCGGCTAATATAAGCTTAATGATATTATTCCTATTATTCCTTTGTTAATTGAAGTAATTCTTCTGTAATAGGTATATCAATTAATAATTATTCTTTTTAAGCCAATACAATTTTCTATTAATATTTCTTAAGGTTCTTACTTGCTAATTTAATTTATCATTGAATTATTGATTTAAATTTTCAAGATCTGTAGATAATCTTTTTCTCAAAGTTTCAATTTCAGTCATAGAATTATCAAAATTAGTTGATGCCACTTCTTCAGCTGCAATATCTTCATTTAAACTTTTATTAGCTGCATCTCTAATTTATACTAATTTTTCTAAGATTCTTTAAACTGTTGGAACATCAAATCTAGTTGTTAATTTAATTAAAATAGTAATTGGATGATTAGGTCCAAATTATTCATGGCATTCACTATGAATTTAAGCTAATATAGCTTATCTATTTTCATCAGTAATTTATTCATCAACAGCTTTACTTAATTTTTCAATAATGAGATTTAATGCATTAATAACTTTATTTGCAGATTCAACTCTTCTATTATAAGCTTTAATATCAGCTGCTCTGGCATTTCTAATAAATTATTCTTGTTCATTTAGAATTGATAATTGCTTTTCATATGTTATAATAGTTTCTCTTAAAATAATCAATTATTCGGCTAAAGTTTAAATGAGAACATTTGCATTCGCTAAATCTGTATTTAATTTTGAGAGATCATCTTCTAATTCATTAATATTTTAATCAAAAACTGCCATTTATCTTGAATGTTCAACATCATCATCAACTTAATCTTATTTTAATGAATCTAACAATTCTTTTATCAATTTCAGAACTTCATCAACTTATGCTCCTGTTTCCAATTTGATTTACACTAATTCTTTTAATTAATCACTATAAGGACTTTAGCCGAACTACAAGACTCAATACTTGTTAATACTTCATGGAATGACTTCATCAATAAAGAGGCTTAAGGTGTCATGGCTGATAAACATACCCCAATAGTCATAATCAATAAATTAAAACGGATTATGCTCATTTTTATTATATAAATTTATTATTGAACTGTGTTATTCATCTATATATTATTAAATGGAATTGATAAATCATTCATGTTAGACTTATTTCCTAACTGCATCACTTAATGAATATTCTGATCTTTCATATGATTCTACTTACTAAAATAAATTAAAATTATTACTTTATCTTTTACATAATCATCTACTCTTTATTTAAATTTGTCTTCAGATGTTCCAACTTAAGTTGAGTAGATTCTGTATACATCAGTGAATAAATTAAGTTCTTCTTGTAATCTAGCTTTATTTTTATTATATTAGGTCTCTTCTAATTTTAAGTCCTATCCATATTTTATTTTAGAGATACTTCAATTGCTCTTTATTATTATTATTGTAAAGCAACACCTCTTTCTCTACAATTTACTGCAGCTAATCTAGCTTAGACTAATTGTTCTTATAGTTTTATGATATTTTTCTCTTCAGATGAAAGATCATAATTGATTTATTCATTTTCTATATCAATTGCTCCCTTAAAGTCAGCCAATGTGACTCCAGTAGTGATTTCTAAATTTTAAGAATTTTTTATTTATTCTCTTATGTATCTCTCCATATCATCTAGCATCTCAATTAATTATCCTTTAACTGTATTGATATTTCCTTAAGAAGATGGGGTTACTTAAGTCCAATCAATAAACATTGTATCAGCAAACTCATGAGCTAATTCTACAAGTTCTGACATTTTTGCAGATTTATACATTGTTAAGAATTTCTCTACATATGCTCCATATCTATTTAATTAATTGTTATCTAAGTTTTATAAGGAATTTCTCAAAAATATTATAAGTCTCAATGTCATGTTATCATTTTTAACTCTTTCAATATAGTTGGATGAATGTGTGCATCTAATTTATATTTGTATCAACTACCTGTTATTATCAAGGGTTTCTATTCTTTTTGCATTATCAACAAGTCTTCTTTGTAAATAAGCAATGAATTTATTTGTTTTATCAATATCAGATTCTCTATCAGAAACTGATTTATCACGACTTGCGCATAAAAAGTTTTATTCTTAAATGGCTTTGCCCAAATTAAAAATGATATTCTCTTTCAACTAAAAGGTCTATTACATTCAATACATTTTTGGAAACTGTGTAATCTGTATTGAGTGCTGTAAGTTCAACAGCTGATGCTCCCTTTAGGTCAGCCAACAATTTCTCTACAGCATCTACTTCATTCTGACACAAAACACCAACAAATAACAATAATAAAAGGCTCTTCATGCCGTTTTTTAATTTTTTTATATTAAATGAGTTTATATATTAACAACCAAAATAATTATACAATCAACATCTAGACTCTAAAATTTTAGTCTTATCTTAGATAATATATATAAATATGATAAATAATTAGAATAAAATTAAATTGAATAGCATGACATAATTTATTCTAATTAAAAATTTAGATTCTCAAAAATTTACTTTTATCCAGAAAATAATTTAATAAAAATCTTAAATAAACTGTAAAATTTATATATTATTCTTGAGTAAAAACAATTAGATATTTAAGATTATATCCTATAGTAGATTTAAATTAAAATATTTTTTAATAATAGAAAGATCCAAAATAATTTATACATAAGCTATCAATATTGTATATTTATATAAATTGTTAACATTCGAATATAATAAACTAAAAAGAGATTAAGATTAATAATTGTAATTAAGAATCTTTAATATAACAATAATTTTTCTTCTCTTATGTTTATTATAAATAAACATCATTTTTTTGCTTATTAAGCTGCTTACTTCTTTTTCTCAGCCTCAAGTCTTTCTTTTTCTTTTTGATCTAACCATTCCTTTTTTGCTGCTTCGAAATTTCTATCATATTTTATATCTTATTGATTTGCTATATTTTATAAAGTTGTTCTTCCTTAAGGACCTTCAGCATTTTTTCTACCATTTTAAGGTCCTTTTTTATCTGTTCCATTTTTAAGATCTTCTAATAACTTTAACTATAAATAATTTATAATATAATATACAGTATTTTCAGGTGTTAAATCTTCATATACCCATTCATTATTAACTTGCATCATTGGTGCATTGGCACATGCTCCTAAACATTCAACTTCTTGTAGTGTAAACAAACCATCAGCAGTTGTTTCTCCATTTTTAATATTCAATTTTTATTCAATTGTTTTAATTATATCTTTAGATCCGCATAATTAGCATGGAGTAGTACCACATACTTAAAGATGAAATGTTCCTACTCTTTCTCTATTAAACATAGAATAAAATGATGCTGTTTCAAATACATCCATTTCAGGGATTTCTAATAATTTAGCAATCTAGTAAATTAAAATCTTATTCAACCTTCTTCATAGCTGATAAACTCAAAAAGTTATTATTTTATTTTTATGCAAGCATAAGTAAAGGTATGGTGCCTGATTTTTTCTCATTTGATGGGAATTTTGCTAAAATGGCTTCAATTTTTTTGTAATTTTCATCTGTAAAATCAAATGGTACTGAATCACTATTGTCATCTCTATTTCTATGTGCAACAAAAATATTAGAGAATCTTTGAATAGATTTTAATTATGCTAATTATGCAAACTTTTATATCATAATTTAATTAATAAATATAATATATATATATTAATAAATAGAAAATTAACAAATTATATAGTCTTAATCAAAACTAAATTTAAATATTATAAAGGAGAATATATTAAGATTGTAGATAAATAAATATAAATATAATCAGAACTATATAATTTGATAAAAAGATAATATTTTATTGCTTTAATATTATTAATTGATTTAATCGATAAGAATTAGAAGAAGCATTTACTCAATTTATTCTCCATATACAAAAAAGTTTAATTTGCTTAATTTATGGACAGAAATTTAGGATTAATATCTGATGTTTAAAATGGATGTTTAATTGTGAGTTTTATTAATCAGTATCAAGATTTATTGAAATTATTCCATATTTTTATATAATTTCTGTAATTATGAATCTTCTTAATCACATTCATTTTTTAGTTCTTTTGAAAGAGTTGAAATTGATTCATATAATTTTTTAATAAAAATCTTAAAAATTAAATTTCTTTTTTGATTAAAAAATGAGTAGTGTGTAATTCGTCAATTCTAAAGCTGAAGTGCTTCGTAAATATTAAGCATTAGCAATGAATATAAATGCTGCAGCTGGTTTAATGGAAGTCATGAAATCAAATTTAGGACCTAAGGGTACCTTAAAAATGCTTGTAGGAGGAGCAGGATAAATAAAACTTACAAAAGATGGTGCTGTCCTTTTGTCAGAAATGTAGATTTAGCATCCAACAGCAGCTATGATAGCTAGAAGTGCTACAGCATAGGATGACATTATTGGTGATGGTACAACTAGCAATGTTTTATTAATTGGCGCATTAATGAAATAAGCTGAAAGATTATTAGCTGAAGGAATTCATCCAAGAGTAATTACAGAAGGATATGAACTTGCAAGAAAGGAGGCCCTAACATATTTAGATTCCTTTAAATATTAATAAATTGATAAAGCTGTATTAATTAA